TTTCACTAGCCTTTGCTTTGATAACATTTAAGAATATGCAGAACATGTTGAATTCTGTATGTGCAGGCTCCATATAACTCACTGTTTATTTAATTATTCTACATTATACTACTTGTTAGTAGTTGAACTCTGCATGCATAATTTGTAAGCTTGTTCCATCTTGCTATTTATGGCTTTTAGATTTCCCGATAAGACACTTATAAGTTAGTCTGTTTCGGTGATTTAGAAGCTTTTATTGACGAATAGTTAATAGAATTACTGAAAAACTGGAACAATAGGATCTGATATCATAAAGGACCTATGAAAAAATTCAAACCTATGCGGAACCATATACCTAGACACTAGTATTTGCCAAAACTACATAATATGCTAACTGTCATTACAGTCAGTTCTTGACGAGACTATTTCACAACATCGCGCTACCGTGGAATGATTAGTGCAGCTCCTGAAACCACATGGATAGTCTGAATTGGTTGACAAGTCTGAGTGAAACAGTAGAAGACGAACGACCTGGTGAAGGAATGTTTATTTGGAATTTGGGTATCTCTATATAGCCAAATTATGTACATCTTATCTTCAACGCACCGTTTACATACATCTCCCGTGTTGTTCTACCTCTGGCCTTCATATTGTGTTTCTTTGTGTTCCTTTCACGTCTCCCATGTTTCTCCACAATGCTGAATCATTTTCTTTCTCTGACGTCAGATCTATCGCCCTGTTATTTGATGTTTTTTATATGCCGATGAACATCTCTTTATATGTATACTACTGACAAACCTTATCAGTAGCACCACTCCACATGTGATAAGTCTGTGACATGTTTTGTTTCATCTCTATTTACTAACATTTCTAGGATAGAAACTACAGAATTTATTTACGACAAATTGACTGAACTTAATTTGAAAACAAATTTCGTTGTTTTCTATGACGCTGTATACTACGGATTGATTGGCATGAGTAACTACTACTGGACACCATATCACATCATGTCAATCAGTGTGTTTTAGGATATATAGCATCATCCATCTGTGCTGTTTTTTTGATTGCCACCATTCATAGTAACAAACAGATCACACACATTATGATCTGCATAATTTCGGCTTTCAAAGCACACTGTGCTAAGATTTCACCTCTTCGAACTGTGTAAATTGCAAAGTGTTAATTAATTTGTGCATTGTGGATTCGACCTTTGTTTCCATCTTTGGATGTGTTTTTAAGATATATTGTCAAATATCCAGTTCTCAGAGATTCTAGACGAATCGCTGGTTTCAGAAAACTAAACCTGATATACAAAATACTGTACACTGTAACTGTCGCAAAACAATAGAAAACGGTTGGGCAACACGATTGTGTTTATTCTTCAAGCGATAACGAAACAGATTTACAGTGGTTAATCAGTGACAAAGCCTGTAAATAAATGTTAATATCATAATACAACGATACTTGTGATCGTATTTCTCCAATCTTCTGCGAACCAGTATAATGACTAAGCACTGACAGCCTTCTTGTCTCCCGTCACTATGGAGACCAGTTCGAATAACAAATTATTCAATGTTCACCAGCACTGGTATATGTTATGAATGTATGCCATCTCTCCCATAGTGAATTTTATATTAGTCTTAGCAGTTAATTCCAAATTGAAAAGGAGTTTTCAAGTGTTGGTTTGCAAGGATTTTATTGGTTCCAGGATTTCATTATCAACTGACATCGGTTAGAGGACCATTGGAAAACCAGCTGACAGTGCTAGACAGCTGTTTCGTCCTAGTTTGGGATTCTTCAGAAGTACACACCCACCGACAGGGTCGAACCCGGACCTTCTGGTTAAAAGGCCAGCCAGTTCGTAGACCATTAAGCCACTGGGACTCGACCCAATGGTTTATGAATTCTAACCTCTACCAATTCATGAAATGGCGCGACCACTAGCGAATGTCATCACTGGCGAGTATTTGTCTTCACGCCCGACCTGCTGTACCCTACTGGTCACGAATTTGTTTTCTTCGTAACTAAACGTTATGAAAATACAGTAATCGAAGGTGTGCAGGCTAGGGAATGATTACATAAAGAGATTATTTTGGTAATATGTCAGTCCCTGAAAACTTGAAGTCGAAAAGGTCACACTGATTGGTACATCTTTAATGAAATTAAATAAAAAGGAGGTGACAAGGGACTTCCCCTATGGACACACTACTAGGTATCATCACTTCGAATGACAACTCTTCATTAGAGATTTTACAGGGATACATGTGTTCTATAAGAATGTTTTGTGATTAGTAAAATATATCCACTTGGTAGTCCCTTCACACTCAACCATTGTCAAAACAGTTCTCGGTCCGCGGTGTTTTCAGGCCTAGAAACATGAATAATATTGGATACCAGTAAGTATGCCTGTGGTGGTACAGTGATAGAATGCTCACCAACCATGCAGGTGGTTCGGGACTCGACCTGCGGCTGATGCACTCCTTTACCTCGCTAAGCCTAGTAACAAGACTGGTAAAGAGTGGAGGGTTGGGCATGAGGCTAGTAACCTCATCTTGTGAAAATAAACAGCACTGCTACCGAAACTCCAAGCCTATAGATTGAAGCCCTATGTTCCACTGGGAACGTAAAGGAATAAGGAAAAGTATACTTGGGTTTTAGAAGCTGTCATTGGGTAAGAATATGATCAATAGATCTCCGCTCGATGATGAATCCTGCTTGTTTTTGTCGGCTATGGAATCATAAGTACTACGGTAGTGATTATCAGAGGTACGTGACCTTCAACAACGGAGTCTTGGGGTTCAAACCCAGCTCCACCTACCTAAAAGCGTTTAGGAGGTTAGGTAGTACATATTTTCAAGCCTCACCTAATAGGGTTAGAGCACTACAGCGTCTATCGATTCGAGCAGCAGAAGTCAGAAGGGCATCAGAAAAGCATTTAAAATTATCGTGTACTAACTGATATGACATAGGAATTATACGTTTGCCTAATACATATGGAGGTTATGGAAATAACCAACAACAACAACAGAAGCAACATCCAGCGCCGATCACCATTAACGGAAGGGATTTGAAAGAGGTTACTTCATTCACTTATCTAACATTGAGCATTGTGTCAACTAAAGGAAATCGGAACAGACGAGGACGTCAAATCGAGCGAGAATCGGGAAGGCATCGAGAAACACATTCATCATCCTGAAACCAATCTGGAAATCTTCGTCACTCAGTCAGCATCAACAACAAAATTCGCTCGGATTTTCAATACAAACCTGGTCAAGTCAGTCAGTTCTTCTATACGGATGAGAAACTTGGCGGGCGGGCGGGTCACAAAGAATATTTCCAACAGCCTGTTGCAGACCAAACCTTTATTAAAAACTGTCTTCGCTGGATCTATACTGAAGATCAGATGGCCGGGCCGGACAGAATCACCAACAAGAAACTATGGGAACAAACAAGCGAAACAAGAACAAACCAATCGCCAACCAAGAAATATGCAGGAGAAAGTGGAGATGGATGGATTGGACACTCGTGGCTGAGGAGGCCGGGCCTCTGGGTGACATCGCGCGTGCGTCATGCCATTGCTCGAGTGGAACCAGGCCGAAAGGGAAGCCAGCGGCGAGTGCGTCGTCAGTGCAAGGGTGATATGGAGGAGATCGTGTGAAGAGTTGAAACAGTATGGACTAACATGGATGCAGGTGAAAAGTACAGCAAAAGGAAGACAGAAGTTGCAAGTGGAGACGTGCAGTTGAAGCTGTATGTTCCACTAGGAACCCAAGGGAACAAGAACAACATAATACACATGGCAGAATCGACTGCTGTTTACTTTTATAGACCACCAAACGTCTCAGTTTTTCTATCCATGAACATAATACAACTTCTACTTTTACTAATAATTTATCTTTGTTGCTGTATTGATATATCCTTGTCTGCTTAACTTTCTACTTTTTGATTCTTACTTAACTGGTGATTGTTTGCAATCAGCCATTCATCGATAAGATTCTTTTTTTCATTTTACTATTTCATTTGACGAATAGTAACCGGTCTCTTATTATTATTATTATTTATTCTTAAACCCATCTCCGTACTCTGTGAACTTTCTCTTTATCTCCACTTCTGAAAGTTACTGTTTTCTTGACTTGCTAAATTTGACCGGTCACAGGTGTAAGTCCGTGTCTCGGTAGTTCAAGCGTAGAATGCCTGCCAACCCTGTAAGTGGTTCGGATTCCATCCCCGTCTGGGTTAATTAACCGATGTTAAGACCGGAGAAGAGGGAAGGCTAGCAACTCCTCCCTCACCGCCGTAGAGAAAAACAACGCCATTGCCATTAAAACCTAACAGTTGAAAGTCTTATGCTCCACCCAGAACTCAAGAGAATGATAAAGAAGAGTTTATTATTAGTAGCAATCCGTAAACATGACAAAACTATAATATGGTGTATAGGAAATATCTGTAGAAGGCATTAATCAATTTTTAATAACTGAACATATGACATGATTTTATAACAGATTTCCTTTTTGTAAAAACTAATGTTCAGTGGTAGATGATGACTAGCAGTGGAATCCACTAGGATGCACATTTCGTCCTGTTTGAAACTCGTCGTCTGTATGTACCTGTATTCCGCAGTGAGTGATGATGTTCCCACCGAGGCTCGAACCCAGTGCTCATAGTTTCAAACGCCAAAAGGTTATCCGCTAGACCACTTGGGCCACGAGAGCCACCTCTTGTGCAACAGGTCATGTTAATTTAATCGAATTTTTGATTTTCCCGTCGATTGATTTAAACGAATTTCCCAAATAGGACGAAATGGCCATCCCAGATTCCACTGCTAGTCACAATCCACCAGTTAACTTCTAATTACATGCCCAGACATCGTCGAAGCATCTGCACAAGAAGCCGATATGTCAACCTGAGATTGAGCAGCACTTTTGTCCAATCAAACGACGGAAAAATCTAAAATTGAATTAAATAAATAAATTAATGTTCCTTTCTTTGATATAAATTTCTTTCTTTATTTTTCGCCGCAGTCTTAACGATTTAAACAATAAAATAGAATCTGCTGAATTAGAAATGAAAAAATTCCATGAACACTTTCAAAATGAAGTCAATGAAATACGAACAACTATCCCGTTGAAGGTGAACACAGATGATTTGGATCCACGTCATTTAGAAAATCCGCATATCCTTCTACTGGGACCACAGTGTAAACCTAGCCGACAGAATCAATCCTTACTAGATACTGATTTGGATGAGACAACAAATCGTCTTCTACCTGATCCTATACAACCTGCTCCGTATATGGATGATTATTCTTCGAAAAAGGCTGTTTGAGAAAGGGTCTATCATCATTGTGTGTGTGTGTATGTATGTATATGTATATAAAAATGGAAGCATTCGCATTAAAAAGCAACAACTAATGCTATGCGGTATTCTTGCTATTCAGAGAAATAAGGCGGCTTGTGAATAATATTACTTTCTTTTTAGTATTTGATTTATCTGTAAACGATTCGTATTTCTCTTCATAAATATATATTATACATGCAGCAGCATGTGCATACTTATATATGCACATGAGTGATATGACAAGTAAATAAATTATATTGTATATTCGGTGACTGCCTTTTCCTATTGTTAACCCCCCCCCTTCGCCTCCATTTTACTGCTACCATCATGGAGACTATCTGCTTTTTTCGAATTTTGAAACAATCACGTCTGCGAAACTGCGTATGTTTGGCATGCAGTTCGCTCCCGTCAAATGTAAGATGATGTTACAGGACTGGAGTACATCCACTACTCCTAGCTTAGAGGTAGGAAGTGAAGTGGTAGAGCACGTTGACCACTTCACGTACTTGGAAGTTGCATCAGCCAACGCCAACGGGTTGATCACTGAAGAAATTTCAGCACGGATACATAGGACTCGTTTCGTATATGCCAGTTTATGTCGTCTCTAGCGTAGACATAATATCCGGCTGGTTATGAGACATGGTCATTGAGAGTGGAAGACATGAAAAGGCTAGCTGTCTTTGATCATAGTTGCCTACGTCCTATCTTCCGTGTGAAGTGTTATAATTGGATGAGCAATATTGAGGTTAGGCTTCGGTCGACTGCTAGGTGAGGAAGTTAAATCAATAGACGAGGTTGTGAAGTTACACTGATTGAGATGGTTAGGACATGCCTTACGCATGCATCCATAGCCATCAATCGCCCTCCTCGATCGACAGCAATGTTAGCCGCTGACAAAGGATGGATTAGGTTAGAAAAAAGAAAGAAATCGTTTGCATCGGGCAAATGTATTCAGTCTCAGTGATTTCCTCTATCCAATGAAACCGCACTGTTTTTCTATGTTACTATTCTTCTTCCACACATATTTGCCTATTATTATTCTTTAGAATCTCTATTTTTCTCCCTTTTTGTGCTACATGCATTGTGGCGAGTTGAACCGATGCACTTCTATACAAAGTTCTATGTTGAAACCAGTCAGTCAGTCAGCCAATCGATTTGTCTTGAATGGATACATTAAGTAACCTTGTATAGTATAGTGCCCGATAAAGATAAATCGAAGCAGAGCAACTAGAGAAAATAAAGCGATCCACGTCAAGCACTGAATGAATAGAGTACACACACACACAAAAGGAACTCTGGGAACGAACCAACCAAGAATCTATTAGTCAACAAATATTCCGAAGAAAATGGAGATGGATTGGACACACGCTGAGGAGACTGTCAAATAACATCGCCCAAGTGGAATGAATCTGAACGGGAAACGACGAGTTAGGCGTCAGTTTGAGGGTCACATATAGGAGATTGTGCGAGGTTGAGATCAGAGACAATGGACAATTCTGTGGCCAGCTTAAGAGGACCACAGAGAATAGGAAAAATTGGAGATGTTGCTGTTGAAGCTAAATGTTCTACTCGGAATCCAAGGGAATAATAATAACAAACACTGGATCGTGTTCCAGTGGCTGGCTAGTTAGCCTTGTAACCAGAACGTCCAGGGTTCAAACCCTGTCGGTGGGTGCGTACTGCTGAAGCGGAGTCCCAGACTAGATTGACGAAACAGCTGTCCAGTACTCCCCCCTTTCAGGTCTTCCAATGGTTCTCTAACTGATATCAGTTCATGATGAAATCCTGGAAGCAATTAAGAGTATAAGAATTGCAAATAACAATAAGAAGAAGTTCTCTATATACACTTTTATTTCATTTGATGCTTATTTACTACTTTGTGTATCAATAACAATATTATTAATAATAGTAATAATTCACATTTCTGTAAAATTATATAAATAGCAGTCATTTAAGATAATAAATAATAGTAATAATAATGGCGAACAATTAATTAATTAAATAAATAATTAATAACAATAATAGTAGGCGAAACAAAATGTAAAGTTGAATATATATATAATAAATGCAAGTAAAGTACACAGTTTGTTCTAGCTGTTTCTGTGGTTGTAATGAGGCTACACCTACATTAAATGTGATAAGGACAATAGCGCAAAATGAGTAGTACTCATAATAATAATCACTACGGTTTATAGATGGAGTTTAGCGAATCCCTTTAAAACAGAAAAAAACAACAGGAGACTTTAGAAATAATCATTAATATGTTATACAGAAAAGATGAGTATCTTTCATTTCCATAGATAAGATAGATATATGCAGATGTTGACTGACAGACTGACTATCCGGCTAATTGTCGATTAGTTTTTTTCTTCTTTTTTGAAGCTAACTAACTACTTATCAAACAAATAAGTAGTATTTAAGCGTATAAAACAAAATTGTTATTCACTCATCAATCCACACACATACACACAACGTACAGAGTCAAGTAGTCTCACAACAACCGAATAACTGAGTGTAGAATCGAATCAGAACAAAAACAGTATGGAAGCATGAATTGTGAATCAATTTAAATATTTAAGTATGTATATGCATTAAATTACACAAGAAGAGAGTATCCTTCATCAACAGGTAAAAAATACACACAAAAACAAAATGAACCAATCAAAAGAGAGGAGGAGTGAAGATCACTCACACACATATTTCAGGTAATATGAGTAGAATGCTGGTAATTATTTTTGAAAAAAAACAAAACAAAGAAAAGAAAGGAGATTAATTAATAAGTTAAGTACATCCATTGCACTAAGAAAAATAGTTTTCTGTAAGCAGCAGCTGTGTGTATATGAAATAAGTAGAGAAAGAGAGAGCTTCAACTATTTTTCTTGTTGTAATGATACACTTAAAACAGGCGGGAATTGTAAATTTTTGTCGAATTCAGCGTTTTTTTTTCACCAGTCGGGCATAGCAAACAAGTTAGTTATTTATTTCTCTCCAATCAGGGTGTTCATGATTTCTTTAACCTGAGGAGTGGTGGTGGCGGTCGTGGTTGTAGTGGTCAGATGAAATCATTTAGCAGCAGCATAGAACAACACACAATTAACGGCCATAAGCGATATGATATATATGCATGTATATGTACGTATATATTTATAAATGCTCAAGTGTGTATTTATATATGCCTATAGGTCCTTCGATAATTTCAGGCATTCTTTTTTATTTCTTTAGTTTTAGCCGCCCATTTTTGTGATTGACGAACAATTTGTTGACTTAATTCTTTCACACTGATTGGAACTCGAACAACCTATAAAGAAAGGGAGAGGAAAAAACCTATAAGATTCAAGCCATGCTAAAAGCAGAAGAACATTTCTCTATAATGCATAAGTAAACAGATTAATATGACTGCAATTAACGATTATAAGGTATTTTTGATTGGACACTAGTCCCAGTGGATCAGGTCCTAGTGGTTTAATGGTATACGAGCGCACTAGTCCTGTAACCAGAAGGTCCTTGGCTCGGACCCCGGTGGGTGCGTACTTCTGAAGAGTCCCAAACTGGGACGAAACAGCTACCCAGTACTCCCAGTTGGTTTTTCAATGGTTCTCTAACCAATGTCAGCTAATGATGAAATCCTGTAACTAGTCCTTTGCTTGATGCAGACTGGCTTATATTTTAACAACAGAAGACAAGGGCCGGCAACAGATCGTTTTATTACGGAAATCAACACGTATTTATATATATTTCATGTACATTATTATGCTTATTCAAGTAGGCAAACGCAGTCTTCTGATTGGTTGTTTCTCGGAAGTTAAGCAGACAAACGCAGGCTTCTGATTGGTTGTTTCGGGTAACCTCGGAAAGTGGAGTCATTTATCTGCGAATCATATTTGCCCACGTTAAGTCTGCTGTGATTGGTTGTTGAATCAGCCTTGTTCATATTTTCTCACGGCCAGTATTAGTGACCTAAACATTGACGTAGGTTAATGTCTACCAATTGATTAGCAGCCTGCTCTCACCACACTATCAGTCAGGTTTGTAATGTGGCCAGCATTCTAGGCGACTCACCATGACGGTGTACTGCACTGTGAATTGTTGATATTAGATGGTTAGAGGCAATTGGCCAGAAGAGAAGCCTTCGACCTAGGTTTCGCGCTAGTTGGCACTCACCAGTCGTCAGCAAGGCGTATCTGCAACTAGCCTGAAGGAACTCGTGCTCCTTCTGAGATTCGATCTCGCATCACCCAGTGTTGCAGTTATAGTATATACTGATCATACAATTTATGAAGCGAGGCAATAGAGATTTGTATCTCAGGCGGATGATTTGGAATTAGTTGTGTTCTCTGAGCTGGTTGGTTTAATTACGAAGCTTTCGTCGTCCTTCTGGAAAACATCCACTTTCAGCGCAAGTTTTAGCATAAAATGAACTGATTTGAATTCTCGATGAATGATAAAATTGTCTCCGGGCAATCATCTTCGTGGCAAAATTTACCAACTAATAAAAAGGAAATCAGGGGACAAGAAAGTTCAAATTCCAAGTCAATAAAAAATGATCAACACAGATGTAAATCGGCTAACAGTTACGACAATGATTACCAAGATACACAATTCTATCATTCATCGAGAATTAAAATCAGTTAATCCTATGCTAAGACTTGCGCTGAAGATGTCCAGAAGGCCGATGACGGAAACTTCACAATGAAACTAACCAGTTCAGATAACACAACTTATGAAGCGAATTGGTTGATTGAGACGGCTAGAGCACTTACTGCTCAAAACGAGCTACTACCAGCAGTGTTAGCTCACACAGACTTGGGTTGGAAAAGGTTTAGGAGTGGTCAAGATAAAACTCAGCATTAGTCCATGAATTCTTTGACTGTTGTTTTCAACTAACCACGTAGGGAGATGTAGACCAACGGCTCGAAATAGCTCTCAATGACAGCGCAGATTTATTCACTTTTCTTAATCTCCCATTTCCATTGAAGCCTCATACTTTTACATTTTACTACTCTTTTATTCTCCCACACATTTCTGATTATTATAATCCCTTCCCCCCCCGTTTTTATGCGTTTAATGGAGTGTAGCATGTTGGACAGGTGCATGTCTGTGGACCACACCGACTTCTAGTTTAGAAATAGGGAGTGAATTGTTAGAGCATGTTGACTGCTTCACTTATTTTTGTGAAGTACCATCAGCCAACACCAGACGGGTTGATCTCTGACGAAATCTCAGCTGAGTACGGATACAGAGGGCTAGTTTCGCATATGCCAGTTTTCGCTGTCTCTTGCGTCAACGTGATACCCAACTGGCTGTCGACCAAAGGGCGAGTGTACTGCTCATCAGTCCGCTCCGTCCTCCTTTATGTTTTGCTGCGAGACCTGACCACTGAGAGTGGAAGACACGGAAACATTAGCTGTCTTTGATCATAAGTGCCTGTGTTCTATCTCCCGTGTGAAGTTGTATAATAAGATGAGCAATATTGAGGTTAGGAGTCGAGTGCCAGGTAAGGAGGGAAAATCAATCGACGAGGCTGTGAAATTACATCGACTGAGATGGTTAGGACATGTTGTTACGCATGCCTAGTCATCGCCTTCCTCGACGGGCAATGTTAGCGGATATAGGGTCAGGCTGGAAAAGAGCCAGCGGCGGTCAAACAAAAACATGGCACCAGTCAAGGAAATCTACGACAGTTAGTCTAAGCCAAGTAGGGAGGTGAAAACTTCTTTTCAGGTTGGGGTCCTCGGGACGGTAAAAACCAATGGCTGGAAACAATTGGTGATATGGCTAAAAATCGTTCTCAATGGCTAGCGCAGATGCATTTACTCCTTGTGACTTATGATTTCAGATGAAACTATATTGTTCTTCGCTATTACTATTCTTTTGCCTCACACCTCTGTTTACTGTCTCTATTATGCATTTCTTGTACTTTCTTCTCTTGCTTTGTGTGCTACAAGGAGGAAGTGTGGCGAGTTGAACTGCCGCACATCGGTGCAAAAGTTGTATGTCGAAAACAGACAGAGAGACAGTTTTATGTTGAAACTCAGTTATTCAGTCGTCATTAATCATGAAACCTGTTATATGCATATATCAGTCTAGCTTCAATGTGTGGGAATGTCGCTCACTGGATAAAGGCACTCGACTTGTAGCTAATGTGTCTCGAGTTCGACTTCCAATTGATCCACTTCAGCCCCTAAGTGCTTGAATAATATCATCAACTCCTTACAAAATAAGTGCGGTTCACAGACGGGTATCTGAAACAGAAAGGGAATCAGTGTCACGTGACTTCAGAGCTCAGAGGATAACTACATGAGGCCGGTGACACACCCATACGGTCTGTTTCACTTAGTCTTTTGAGTTTTATCCGTATTAAGACATTGTCGGCGGCTATGCTACGAACAGCCACAAGATAAGTCAGGATGTACAATTTTCAGCGTCGACCTTTCCCATAGAGCGGAAAGGCAGCATAGTTGACTTAGTTACGACTTTGACTACAGACCGTCGACACAATGATGGTAACTACTTTGAATCTAATCGCTGTTCAAATGATCTTTCTGGCATAGTAGGACCTACAGGAACATTCTTTGCAGTCAGTGTAGCTCACTGGGGTAGTTACGATATGCAAGCCCGATTACCACGACATCAAAGTAGCAGTCTATTGGTCCAGTCTAGATAACTGAGTTGTAGCTAACTAGCTTCAGTATTTAAGTGTTGGTTTGTAGGGATTCGATTGGTTACAGGATTTCATCATGAGCTGAAATTAGTTAGAGAACCATTGGAAAACCTGCAGGGAGTACTGGACAACTGTTTCGTCAACCTGGTTTGGGACTCTTCATCAGTACACACCCACAGACAGGGTTCGAACCCACTACCTTCTGGTTACAAGGCGAGCTTGTATACCATTAAGCCACTGCGACCCGATCCAATGGCCTATGAATTCTAACTTCTGCCAATTCATGACATAGCGCGACCCTAACTAATTGGTTGCGTACTGATGAAGAGTCCCAAACTAGGCTGACGAAACAGCTATCCAGTACTCCCAGTTGGTTTTCCAATGGTTCTCTAACCATTGTCAGCTCATGATGAAGTCCTGTAGCTGCAGTATTTCTTTGGGAACATTGATGGACAATGACAGTAGCCGAAAGTAGGCATAACCACAGTGAACATGAAAATGCCTGTTAGTGTATAGCGTTTTTAATGTTTAATCTAACCATCTTTTCTTAAAAATAATCATCTGTATAGAGAGTTTACCTACTATGATTCCATATCCAATAAGTCTGATCAGTATTCAGATGTCTTACAAATAAGAAAACGCCAAATAAGGAAATGCATAGTCAAATCTTCTAGCCAGCTCTTTTAAATGTTGTTCATGTACTGATTTTACAACAGGGTTACAAAGTTGATCATAACTTATCACGTTGTTATTTAAGTTATTTACGAAAATGTCAATCATATTCTTGTTATTATTATTACTATTATTCTAATTAGGATCGATTTTACAAATACACGCGCCTTCTAAATATTTGCAAATGACTGACAGGTTAAAGAGTGTAAAGAAAGAGGAACATTTGCGTTTAGATGTTAGCGATTGTTTTTCATAGTACACGTTCTTGTTTAATCACTTTTATACTACTACTAATACTAACACTACTTATTAAAAACAAAATATTTTCAAAGGAGGCCGCTGGGTGACATCGCGCGCGCGCGCGTCAGGCCATCGCTCGAGTGGAACCAGGCCGAAAGGGAAGCCAGCGGCAAGTGGGACACGTCAGTGCAAGGGTGAGTGACATGGAGGAGATCGTGTGAAAAAGGAGTTAAAACAGTATGGACTAACATGGATGGATGCAGCTGATGAAAAGTACAGCAGAAGGAAGACAGAAGTGGCAAGCGGAGACGTGCATTTGAAGCCCTATTTTCCACTAGGAACCCAAGGGAACAACAATAATAATATAATAATAAATATCCTTTTCGGTAATTTCCTCTTCTGGCTCTACAATTATATATATGCTTATAGATGACTCACACAAACTCTAGATTAGTCCTCAATAACAATATTAGTGTTTTTTAAATAATATCGATTTGTACGGTAAGATCACGATGGAATCACAGTTCAAGAATGATGCATAAGTTACAATAATAAGTATATAAGAATGTAATAGCAAATAGAATATCACATAAAATTAAGGAAATATCCACAACAAATTGAGGATCATTCGAACCTAGATGGCCAGAGTGGTAAGGACAATGTCTGAACTAGCTTCTTTTGGAAACATAAATTAAGATTTTTTAGTGTGGATCCCAACGGCTTCAGTAATATTTAGTAGACGAACTCTTAGGGCGAAGTTAAGATTAGTTGGTATGCGGTAGATGACTCTGAAAGCCTCGTTGACATCAATCTCGTGTTTTGTATCCACAAGATGAGATAGAATAGCACTACGAATAGATTTTGTTTGTCCTTTATTTAATCAACTGCCAAACAAATATGAAGAATAGTGACATCACGCGACAGGCTCTTCAGGAGAACCTGAATGGGAGACAACGAGTTGGTCAACGGTCTAACAGTGACATGGACGAGACCGTCTAAAGAGGAGAAGGGAGCCAGATAACGAAGGTTGCAGGGAACGGGATGATATGGAAATGTGCTGTTGAAGGTGCGCATGTATTACTCGAAACCTAAGGGTATAATAATAATAATAACAATAATCAGTGGATTAGCAGTACGCTCTCACCAGCCACATAAGTGGACCCGGTCGACGAACTTCGAAAACCCTCCTAGTTTATTAGGCCGTGCTAAGCCCAGAAAAGAGAAAAGGTTGGGTATGAAGCTATATATATATACCCACTATACTTGAATCATTCTGCGATAGAATTGTACTATAGTATATTGAGATAAAGAATAAGTTATATTTCTCAATAATCCATAGTTGAGTGCATAGAACATTTGAATTCGCACGACCTGAGTACGCACATGCACACACATACACACACACACACTCAATATAGAGTGATTGTTAATGCACTCTTTATCTATCTATCTGTATAATTGGTTTTCAATGAATAAAAGAAAAATCTTATTTGTGGGAATTTCTAACATTACTAATTAGTTTAATTGATTTCGGTTGAGATGAAATAAATGATGGCATAGATAGATAATATCTAGAAATATGATATAATTTATAATTATTCAAATAATGAATTCTTTGTGATTTACAAAGTTAAAAGCTATTATTGTTATTACTAGGATGCTAAGAGCCGATTGGTTGGAACTATTTGGTATAATATGGTTCTTGGAAAGGGTTCTCTCTCAATGGCAAAGATTCATTCACTATTTGTAATTAGATATGAGATATGAGAGTTCAAGCTTGAGTTTTGAAGTCTCAATAGTTATGGCGTTGCTGTTGTTATTATTATTATTGTTATTTTTACGGGATGGGGTTGCTAGCCTTATATATGCCCAACCTTCCACCACCTTTCTCCGGAATCACTACTTGGTTAGGCGATGTTTAGGAGTGAGTTGGCCGGGAATCGAACCCGGCCCATAAATATGGTTAACAAGCATTCTACCACTGAACCGCCGATGCACTGAGGCAGATTCAGTAAGGAACCTAATGAATCGATAGGAAGCTGATTTATACATACATACATACATATCAGTGTTGATTAAATCCTGTCAATGATCCATCACAGCCGTATATATGCTCACATAGCACTGCCTCATAAGATAAATGAATAGACATATTTAAATTTTTTTTTTTATTTTTGATTTACGGCTTGATTCCACACTGTATTTTTGGTACAAGTATGGAATTTGCAGCATGGATATCGGTAGCCCAAATTTTGCAGGCCGACCATAGATATCAGGTGTGCGCCGGCGTGGGCTCGAACCCCGGACCATATGCATGGTCGGCGAGAGTCCTAACCACCGACGCACAGAAGAATTTTTAGGAGTATGGTACTCAGACAGAATAGTAATAATCACAAAGAATCCGAATTAACCCTTAATAGCGATAAAAAAGATACCTCCAAGTAATTAACACAAATCAACCACTCCTTTGTGTAGCTCTGTTTAGATTGACATCATGAGGCAGAAACTGACAAGATACAATATCGGGTAACATAGAAGCTGTATGATGAAGTGGAGAAGTCGAGTGGGAATGTAAAATTTAAATAAAACTAAAGCATACATACACCAGTACTGTAGATTTTGAAGCATATCACGCGTTCATCACTGAACCATTCTCGGTGCATTATGTAGCTTATTTAAGAAGGAAACATTTGTCTGTTTAACTCAAATCAACAGTTGATAACCTTATTGATCAGTTAGACATTTTAGTTTGACTACCACTCAGTTTTATTTAACTTAATCCTGTCCCAATTAACAATTCACCACAGTGGTTAGGACTCTCGCCGACCATGCACATGGTCCGGGGTTCGAGCCCGCACCGACGCACACCTGATATCTATGGTCGGCCTGCAAAATTTGGGCTACCGACATCCATGCTGAAAATTCCATACTTGTACCGAAAATACAGTGTGGAATCAAGCTGTAAATAAAAAAAAAATGGTAATGCTACAAAAGTAGTCTGAAACTTTCCACAAATGAAGACAATAACTCTGTCTTGATATTATGAGTTGCCTGTTCCCACAGTGATAACTAACACAAGACTTTACCTAATAACTACATTTTATTCAAGTACTGGTTTGTAGGGATTTCATCGATTGGTTACAGGATTTCACAATAAGCTGACATCAGTTAGAGAACCATTGAAAAACCAGCTTGGAGTACTGGACAGCTGTTTCGTCAACCTAGTTTGAGACTCTTCGGCAGTACGCACCAACTGCTGGGGTTCAAACCCAGGACCTTCTGGTTACAAGGCGACCGAGCTCGTAGACCATTAAGCAGCCACTGGGACCCGATCCAATGGCCAGTCCATGAATTCTAGCTTCTGCCAATTCACGACATAGCGTGACCGCTAACCAATGTCTTCGGCGAGTATTTGTCCTCACACCCGGCCTGCTGCACCCTACTGGTCACGACTTCCCACTGGAACCCCAGGTAACTACCTACCTGAATAGGGCCAGCAGCCGGCGAGCATCTCATCGATATTCAAGTATTGGTTTGTAAGGATTTGATTGATTAGTTACAGGATGTCATCATGAGCTGGCATTGGTTAGAGAACCAATCCTGTAACTACATTTTAATTTGTTTAATTCTTAAGTTATCTACACACAAGTGAAGTTACTTTTCTTCAGTTATTGTCGCTGGACCAAGTAACACTCTGGTATTAGATGGTTAGAGGCAATTGGCAGGAGGCCTTGGACCTAGACTTCCTGATGATTGCCTCCGATAACTTAACAATAGCACCATGATGCTGAGTCACCTAGCACGGTAGCCACATTGCAAACTTGACTGATAGAATCCAATCTGCACTAAACGAATGACTCAATGCCTGATATAAGTTACGATCTAGTGTCCAATGAAAGAGATTTTGGTATATATATAAATACATTCAGCAATTAAAAAAAAAAAACAACCAGAAAGTCCTGGGTTCGAACCCCGGAGGGTGCGTACTGCTGAAGAGTCCCAAACTAGGCTGACGAAACAGCTGTCCAGTACTCCCAGGTTTTCCAATGGTTCTCTAACTGATGTCAGCTCATGGTGAAATCCTCCATGCAATCAAACAAAATCCTTACAGAACCAATACTTTAAAAACAACAATGTACCATCATTTTTCACTATACACAATGAACTTACCTCACGAATAAAATCATCTAATTTGCCAATAACTGATGGGACTTCACGCAGCCGCATAAGAATATCATCTAATCCGTTGCATGATTTACGATGAGAAGGATTACCAAATAAACGATGAAGTAGAATGATTGCCACTTTGAATAAGATAATTTTACCTAGTTAAATAAAACCAGTGATTGAAATAAAAAACAGAAAAGTTTTATAAAGCATTTTAGAGACTAAACTAGCATAAAATAGGTAATTTTATGCTTCATTAGTAAACATTAAATGAACAAGAAATGCGTTAATTACTTCTGTATTAAAACAAGTGTGTTGTCACGTGTGTTATTTGTTAGAAAAAAGTATAAACAATTAAAAGTTCTTACGATAAGGAAGAAATTAAAGAAACAAAATAAGTACTGAAAAATGTAACAGCAATATTGTTATTAATAATATTATGATTATCTCATTGGGTTTAGAATGGAACATGTGGCTTCAACAGCACAATTCCAATTTACTCTGCTTTCTGCAGTCCTATATTCATAAGCTTCCATCTCATCCGTGCTATCCTCGAATTCACGCCACAATCATCGTTTTCCATTCAGGTCCTACTCAGAGACGTGGTGTACAATGTCATTCAACGAAATGTGAGTGAACCAGAATAATGTACAAGTGTCTAATACAAAAGTATATATGAAAATGGCTAATACACATGAACCAATAAGATAACGTCTTACCATGATTGGTTGTAATGTCATATGATAACAAGGTCATACATTGTTTATTTAGTTAGTGGACAGACAAAAGCATAATGTCAGTTATAATGGAATATCGATCAATATACGCATAGTAAAATATAACAGACTATCAAAAACAGAACACACATCATGTGGGTACATATCAACACTTTACACTGAAGATCAGATGACCAGTTCAGCTGAAAAGGATAAGCAAAAGGGAACTCTGGGAACGAACCAACAAGGACCTATCACGTAAAAAATATACAGAAGGAAATGGAGATGGATAGGACACACACTGAGAAGGTGGTTGAGTGACATCTCATATACCAGACAGACCATCGAGTGGAAGCCTAATGAGAAACGAGTGCAGCGCGTATGTTTGGAATGGAGAGGAGTGTATGAGGAGGAGATGAGAGAGCTTATGGGCAATGGTGGAGTCAGCCAGTGAGGACTGCAGAGAACAGAGTGGAATGAAGATATGTTGATGAATCCCTACGCTCCAGCAGGAACCCAAAGAATTAGTTACCTCACTTGCATTCTAGGGTGCAAAGAAAGTCGATCAATAATGAAGATTTGTAGCTTAAGGGGATGATTCTCATTCAGTTGTGTTCTCTAAGCTGGTTGATCTATTTGCAAAGCTCATATACTAAACTATACGAGTAATAACCCGATTACCAAGAAAAGCAACTATGTGCAGACATTGTTCAAAAGAGTTCAAACACACTGTGGCACTACTCCTGTGTTGAAAAGAATGGAAGAAAAATACCTACTAACCGTCTTCAAAAGAAATGGATACCCCCACACTATTTCATTAAAAAGTGTTTAAACTCGAGTCATAACGCCAACATCAAAGACTACAAGAAAATTTACTCTACCACATATAAAAAATATCTCTGCAATAACAGCTAGAACATTTAAACCGTTTAAAATAGATATAGCACACAAGCCAGCCAGCCAGCCAACACAATCACTACATTTGATATTGTGAAAACTAAAACATCCATCTAACAGAAAAAGAAGAAGATAAAATTAATACCATTTGCAAAATAAATTGCATGTATGAACTGTAACAGACACTACATCGGCCGAGGTGGGCGTCCCCATTTCGCATCAGAATCCAAACACATAAATCAGTTGTAAAAAAGGGCACGATGCTTGGAGACAATTACGGACACCGATTTAAATGAAGGGAATTCCTAGAAGCCTGGTATTCAAGTGAATCAGCCAGCGATTAACAAACACATTAATTAATATAGACTAAATTTACCAGCTAATAAAAAGTAAATCGCATAACAAAAAAGTCCGACCTCCGAAGTCAATAAAAATTATCAATACAGATGTAAATTAACAGCCAATCACGACAGTGGTTACCAGGAGATAGATACGATTACTTATTTTTATTTTTGATTACAGCTTGATTCCACACTGTATTTTTGGAACACGTATGGAATTTTCAGCGTGGATATCGGTAGCCCGAAATTCGCAGGCTGACCATAGATATCAAGTGTGCGTCAGCGTGGGCTCGAACCCCGGACCATGTGCATGGTCGGCGAGAGTCCTAACCACTGTGCCACCGACGCACAAAATCAAAATTACATTATTCATGGAGAATTGAAATGAGTTCGTTTTATACTAAAAACCTGCGCTGAAGAGGGATGTTGTCTAGATGGGAGGGGGGGGGGGGAAAAAGATTTCTTCACAATTACATCACCCAGCTTAAAGAACACAACTAATTCCAAAGTTTATCACTAAATCCATTATTCAGTATGTAAAAATAAACCGGTGGACCAATAATCATCCACATAAACCCTATATATATATAGAAAGGATGACAAACAGATACACCAAGAAAGGACACTTGTATACAATTCATTGAATAGCTTCACATTTAAACATGCGTATTTAGCATTTTCGAACCACATTAACAACAACGTCAACAATAATTTGCATACGCGTAGATATTTGATATGATCGAAACGATTCAAAGCAAACAAGAGAAAGTGGTAAAAAAATCAATTTACGAAAAAGAACTTGTTACTCTTGTTCTAGAGGCATTACCATAATTCTTAGCAAAGTTGCATAGACTTGAGGATAAGTTCTACTTTTAATGCATTTATTTCAGATTGACAGGAATTATGATCACAGAAGTTAATAATACTGCGCCCCTAGAGATTAAGCTACCACATTTAAAATCAAATTAAGCATAAGGTTGTACGAGTGAAGGTAAAATCACCAAAAGTTGTAAAATAATAGAAGAGTTAATAGAGTGCATAAAGTTGAAGAGAAAATGTGAATAGCACTAAGTACTGTAACGACAGAAGACAAGAGCCAGGCGACAGATCGTTTATTGAGAAAATCAAGAGGTATTCATAGATTTTCATGTACATTATTATTCTTCCCATTTCTGTTATTGTTAGCTGAGAAGCAACCTCTTCTGACTGGCTGTTTTCTTGCTGAAGGTTATTCTGTTATCCCTTGGTAGCCATTTCTCAGAAAATCAAGTCATACATCTGTGAATCGTATTTGCACACGTTAAGTCTGATGTGATTGGCTGGTAAGTTCCCCGAGGTTAAGCTTTGTTAATGTTTTTCTCATGACCCTGATTCGAGACGTAAACATTGACGTAAATTGCTGTCTACAGTTTTGGTTTGCAGACGGCTCTCATCACAGTACTAATGACTGACTGAGTGAGACGAGTAGTTGCTTACCATTCATATCAACCTGTAATGCTTGCTAGCCAGCTAGAACGTGGTGATCCAAACACAATCGGACGGCCGTTTCGCTCGTTTGGGGGCGAGCTCATCAGCAGTGTACCCAGTGTAACTCAGCCCAGACGACCGAATCAGTTCAAATAATCTCGATCTGGCTAGCAAAGACTGCTGACTGATATGAGTAGTGTGCATTGATGTGTTCCATCATTACTGTACTGGTAATAATACAGCAAATTCAAAGTGAATGGGGAGGGGGAAAGGTCTGTATGTCAAATTGTGATGAGAGCTGGCTGTTAGCCAAATTCGCTGGACAGTAATTTACGTCAATGTTTATGTCTCCAATATTGGTCGTGAGAAAAATGAGAACAAAGGCCTTGCGTAGGCAGATACAGTTAACATATAGATGATCTGACATTCAAGAAACAGTCACAAAGAGATGCAAGGTTAACTTTCTGTGAGAAACAATCAATCAGAAGACTGTGTTTTTCTGCTAACAATAATTTATAATAATGTACATGAAAACCTATAAATATGTGTTGATTTCCTTAATAAGCGATCTGTTGCCTGGCCCTTGTCTTCTGTTGTTACAATATCATATAATGAAGACTTGCCTCATATAATATATTTCACAGCCGACTTCTATACAACCCCACTAAAAATAAGAGAAAATAATGGTCTACAAATAGTTGCAGCCTTTTCAGATCCCCTAATCTTTAGTGATCAAGTTTCTTTGTCATGGATTACTGCTGGACAGTAAATTCAACTGTTAACAGGAGACAAAACATTTCCTCCTGCATTGTGAGTAGCATAAGTTGGTGAAAGTCTAACAAATTTGTTTATTTATTATGAGGTTTCCTTGATTATAAATTCACACCAGCCGACTAACTGAAGTGGCGACCTCACTCTTGTTATGAAGAGGTCTTGTTTTAGACAATTCGTGAGGTAATTTATGCTTTAGAAGTCAGAAACACATCCTAAATGTTTATTAACTGTAAATCAGTATCCAGAGGACTACAGCTTTTGTAGAAGTCTTCGTTGGATAGACTAACTACAAAATCGTATGCAAAGTAAACCATCAGCTAAAATGAAGAGATAGAATCCACATGAGCACATCAACAACAAATTCGAATAAAAAAAACAAAGAGTAGACACATCCCTATAAAATAAAACAAAAATGTTTTACAGAAAAAATAGGAGTTGGTTTTTGCATGGCTGCGGGTGCTTAAATAATTAGACGAATATGTATCTTTTGTAAGAGATATTAACATAGGATTTCTTGGTCAATGGAGTGATATGCCATCTTTGGATAGATAAATACAGCCGGTAGGCTGTTTTTGAAGCCATCTTGTTCTGATCAGAGGAGTTTTGCGTCCAGAGCATCTTTTAGCGTCTCCACGAATATGCGGTTTAATATTTTGCTTAGCATGGACAGGAGAATGGTTCCATGTCAGTTCTTGCAAAGGCTTAAAGTGACTAGTTTTTGGAAATTTTACTAGGTAGCCAGCCATTCTTGTCATCAGTAAGTATCCTGCCTTCGTTCATTAACTGCTGCAGTAGTGGTGTGATCATGTTCGCTGAGGTCTTCAGGTACGTTTTTAGTACTTCTGAGGGAATAAAATCTGGTTGCACTGCATTTCCACCACCTTCCAGTAACCTAATGATATTCCAGACTTCTGCTTATATCGAAGGATTAGTGTTCACTAAATGTTCTATGACTGTTGGTGG